TTATTTTTAAGAGCCATCAGATAATGTCAGGAGGGGATTTTTTGCACTTACTAGTATTCTAATTTTAGTCTAGGTTCTGATAACCTGTTCAGATCCTGTCCAGAAGCTTCCGTTTCTGGTAATCTGAGCAACTGGAGAGTTGTAGAATTATTTGTACATTTTTCTAGATGTTATGCTTCAAAAAAAAACTTAACTTTTGTAAAACTTGAAAATTTTTCACTTAGCCATTTTGAATACTATGAAATTGTAAAAGAACAAAATGAAGGTTTTAATGCATTCACTGCTAGTAATAGTGGAGATTAACATCATTTTGGATCGTTCTCAAAAGTATTCTTTCACTGAAAAATAACTCAGGAAACATATATTTAGATATTACAATCATTAAGAGTTGGAGTTACCATCTAGGATGCTCCTGTGAATTGAAGGATATTGGTAAGAGTACAGTGTTAGGGATGCATGTAGGGTAAAAGGAAACGGTAAACACTATGCAATAGTAAATGAAGACGCGTGGTGGCGCTGCAGGATAAGAATGTGAAGAACGGCTCTGCAAATACCCAGGAAACCATTCTGGCAATCAGAACTCTGAATGCTCCCTAAAAGAAGGAAGCATATTAGAGAGCGTCTAGGGCAGATATCGTCAGAGAAGACAGCGTTCTACATGCAGGGCAGTCGGCCAGATTGGATTCACTATCACTTAACAAACCGTCTGGGTGGACTGTACACAGAGGTGAAGAAACGGAAGCTTCGGGACAGGATCTGAACAATGGAGACTGCGCTAGCAACAATGCTGAACAAAAGGCAAGTCATTTTGCTTGTTATGCTGTTGATTTTGAGGGAGGCTGGCTCTGAGGCAATTAGGTATTCGATGCCCGAGGAAACAGAAAGTGGCTACCTGGTGGCCAACCTGGCAGAAGATCTGGGGCTGAGGGTGGGGGAACTGGGCACTCGAGGGGCGAGAATCCATTACAAAGGTAACAAACAACTCTTGCAGCTCGATGTAAAGACTGGCAATTT